GGGGGCAGGGTGGGAAGAAAAAAAGGCGTAATGCTTGATTTTGAAAATTCATTATTTTGAAAATACCAAGGGGAAAAAAAACAACAGAGCAAAATTAACCTGAGAGCAGTGTAGAACCCTCTTGCTTTTCTCCTGCAGGTACATGCTGTATCATCTCACTTTGCACATGCGTAGCTGGGATCAATTTTGAGCTATCTCGCTATCCTCGCTACGTGTATGGGCTGCCAGAGGACATCAGTCATGGCTATGGCTGGTCCATGTTCTGTGCCTGGGGGGGCCTGGGCCTCACCCTGCTGGCTGGGTTCCTCTGCACGTTGGCCCCCTCACTCAACACTTCTCGGGCATCTGTACAAAAACCCAGACAAGAAAATGGGGCCGTGTGACCTCAGAGGGAGTGAGGAGAGACTCTGGAAAGCGCAGCCTGGGCAGAGCTGTGGGTTAACACCAGGAAGAGGTGGCATGTCAGCGTGTGGAGCAGTGCCATCGCTGTGGAAGTACCAGCCCGTGGGATGCTGCTACAGCCTCCAGTCGCAGACACAGACATTGCAAGTAACTCCAGGTTTGAATTATTGCCGATTTGCTCATTGATGGTTTAAGGGGGACAGTTCTTTTGATTTTTTTATTCTTCTGTTTACAAGGGATTAATTCCAAGGCTGTGTCTCTTTTTGTGCTGTTTTTTGAACTGTACCTCCATGGTCCTGTTTCTGTCCAGTTGTAAGGGATGTTTACGCACCAACTCTATTGCTGCAGGTCTGTGTAATTCAGACCCAAATTAGGGCAAGGAGCTACGTGAAGTTGGCTTGAACACTTTTGCAACAGGCGTGTCTAGTGTTGGCTCAGGCCATCATTTCCCAAAAGAACCTTGATCTAAGCCGAGGTTTAGGCCAAAGAATTAGCCCATTCTTAGTATTAATTAATTTAAGTAAGAAATCTGTGCTATTCCATGCTGCGGTATCAGCTATTTACTCACTACTAAAGCTGTTTCCAAAAGGAGCCAGCTGTAACCGAGCAGCAAGACTCTAAAAAAACAAAAAGAACTCTCACTGGCTTTAGGAAAGGAGGGGAAAGTTTTCCTCAGCTTCTTACACACGTAAGGTTACTCATTTGCCTAACGTACCCTTGTTTTAATGGGGAGATGTATGCAACATGCAGCTTATACCTAGAGGCCAGGGTTTATTTCTGAAAGTATGTCACAGTTTGAGCTGCCGGAATCAACCTTCACCCCCCAGCTTACCTGTGGGTGCAACTCCTGTTCTGTGAAAGGAGATGAGTAATTCTCCCCGAGCTCAAATAGCAGTACTGCTAAAATAGCAGAAGATGTACAGCCCCCTGTAGTATTAACGTCCAAAGGAACCGCAATGTATTTTCCTCAGGAACGCGTGGCTTCTGCTCACTTCACCGCCCACCCCTTTCTAATGTCAAATGCCCCCTGAGCACAGCATGTCAAGAACATGTGTGCTCCGCTGGAACACGCTCCCTTGTCAAAATGAGCGGGAAGGACCTCGGAACCAGTGCAAGTACTAGGGCTAACTCAGGAACATCAGCCATAGTACTTTGGGGTAAATTTTTCTTTCATTCATCTGTTCTTTCTTCCCTCACATCCCTGCCCCTCTCCCAAGCGTCCAAAACCTGCACAGGTAAAGATGAGATGGCCAGCATTTGGAGATGTTTACATTGTATTTAAAATACAATACAGTGGCATGTAAGATACTTAATGCTAAAGTCAGTGTATTTATGAAAAGTGTAATTTTTAAATGGAAGTTGTAATTCTCAACTGGCATTAAAAGTACTGAAAGACTTGCTCAGTGGATGGAACCTTGAATTCTGACTAATGACCAGACTGATTCACCAGACTGCTCACACACATATCAGTAGTGTTGTTAAAACTTCCAGAGTTAAGTTTAAATGACAAAATTAAAACATCATTCATGTGTTAATCATGCTCAATTCTCCCTTGCAAAATAAGTGTTAGTTCAATAAGTTTCAAAGACTGTAGAAAGCTGTACAGTCTTTTCACTGGCTGCACAGGTAAAAACGGGATGCTGTCTGCACTGCAATCTCAGCTTAACTGCAGTGTGACCTGCTGGTCCTCACCCAGAAGCAGCAGAGCAAGAGTTAATCCAGTTGTAGCACGAGGAGGCTCCAAAGGCAGCATGATGGGCGCCAGCAGACAGGAGGTTCCGCCCCAACACATCATGGATTTGTTTTTAGAGGGAAAAAAACACTTTTATTTTTTCCAGACAGAAAGCAAGTGGTACAGTCCGGTCTAGTCCTGTCCTCTGCCAATGCCACAACCTTGACTGGGCAGAGATCAGGCATAGTACTGCAGATTGGCTTTTTTCTTTGCTTGAACCTCCAGGATTCCTTCCATGTAGTCCTCGTGGGTGAGCTCTGTAGCTCCACGGCGGAGGGCAATCATCCCCTGCCCAACAAGACAGTATTTAGAGAGGGCATGTGAGCACCACATGAGTTCAAAGTCATTACTCCATGCTGGGCTTTCACATTTCCCTCCTATCAGTGCCAGCTGCTGTAGAGGAACACTTACCGCTTCAACACACACAGCCTTGCATTGGGCTCCATTGAAATCATCTGTGCAGCGAGCCAGTTCCTCATAGTTCACATCAGGGCTGACATGAGAAGGAGAGGGAAAAAAATAAGTCAGAATATGTTATCTGAGAACATGTACCAAATACAGGCACAGAGGTACAGAGCTTACTTAAAACCCAACAGTGAACTCTCAACAAAAGAGAGTGCCTACTGGTCCACAGCCCTGAGGTACCATCATGAGTGTCAAACAGCCTCAGAAAGCCATGCCTCTTCCATACCTGACATTCATTTTACGTGAATGGATCTGCATAATTCTGGCTCTGGCCTCCTCATTAGGCATCGGAAACTCAATCTTGCGATCTAATCGTCCAGAGCGGAGCAAAGCTGGGTCCAAGATATCAACCCGGTTGGTTGCAGCAATCACCTAAGTAGAATTACGGTCATCAGTCTAAGACACTTGGAGGACAGACCTCTCCTCCCCACGGATCCACCAAGCTTCTTCCCTGGACACTGTTTTCCATCCCCTTCTAGAGATCCCTGGACCTCAGTAGCACTCTCTGCTAGATCCCAACCTTGACTTGCGTGTTGGGCTGGAAACCATCAAGTTGATTAAGCAGCTCCAGCATGGTCCTCTGCACCTCTCGATCACCAGCCTTCTCACTGTCAAACCTGAGGAGGGAACAAGGATAAAACTACCAGTGTGAACCTGGCCACCCTGCCACATAAAAAGACAGAATGACTGCAGTGCACAATCCTTGGCCAAGGTCTTCCAAATTCCTCCCTGAAACTACAGGAAGTCCTACCCTGATGAGGACTGTAACTAGAATAACTGACAGCAGCAGCTGAGTCTTATTATGCCCTTAGAGCTGAATGTGGCCAATGTTGTCCAGGCCCAAGTAGTACATGACGGTGGACACCTCCATATGCCTGATGCAGTTATCAGAAAACAGTTTTGTACAGCAGGAGACCATCAGATGGATCCCAAGTCTCATGTACTTCACTCGTGAGCCCAAGGATTGTGGCAAATGCTGTCTGTGATTGGCTTTACACTGATTCTGAATAGCCCATGCTTTAAGCTAGGCTTCCCTCACATACATAGGCAAAAAGGGCTTGCTAAGCAGCTCCCAAGAGCTTTACAATATCATCTACACCTCACCTTTTAGTGCCAATGGCATCCAGTTCATCAATAAAGATGATGGAAGGAGCTTTTTCCTTGGCCAGAGCGAAAGCATCGCGCACCAGCTTAGCTCCATCACCAATGAACATCTGCACAAGTTGTGGACCCGCAAGCTTCAGGAACGTAGCCTGGGAAGTGAAAGAGAATCCTATGCCTCATTTCTCAATAGGGTCAGTTCTCTGCAGTTGAGTACTGCAAGAAGCCCGTAATTAAAACGGCCAAACACGCAAACAGAAAAGAGAACCCCAGCCTTTGTAACACCAGTTTATGTGTATGACAGCCCTTCCCTTGGAGATGTTCTTATTCTTTTTCAGGTACTATTCTACAGCAACACACGTTTTTAAAGTTTCCTTTTACCTTGGTCTGGGCAGCACATGCTCGAGCTAAAAGGGTCTTCCCTGTTCCTGGAGGCCCATACATAAGGACTCCTTTAGGGGGCTGTATACCCAAGTTTTCAAATTTCTCCTTATGATTCATTGGCAGAACAATGGCCTCCACAAGCTACAGCAAAAGAAAAATAGTAATATGTAAAACCATTCTGCTCCACAGATCCAGGGTGCCTGCTTTGAGCTGAAGTTCAAAGACTTGTCCTCAATCACACCAGAAAGTAAATAAAAGGTATCACCTCTTGGATTTGTTTATCCAGCCCCCCGATGTCACTGTACTGTTCTGTGGGTCTCTCATCCACCTCCATGGCTTTCACCCGTGAGTCATATTCAGTAGGTAGAGTCTCCAGGATCAAGTAAGAGTCTTTGTTCACCCCCTGTAAACACAAGTCCTTTGCTTTTAACAGGCCCTTCAGATAGCAATTAATAAATGTGCAATCAAAGACGATTCTCTGGACCTCAAGGATGCGGGAATAAGCAGCTTTGACAATGGCACTCTTCACATCACCACAGTGACAACAGTGGACAAGGCCACAGCTAGCACATTTTGAAAAGAAGGTGCCTGACTGACTTATGATACAAAAGATACCGAACTCATAATATGTTTTTATTAAAATTTCAGTGCAGAAATGATCTTGGGAGAAATCTGAACAGATTTGACTCCTTTCTAAATGGCAAGACATAGGCAATTTTCAGGCCAACATCACTCACCACTAGGTCTCCAGGCTTCAACTTCTCAGCATCAACCAACCCAATAACAGGCAGGAAATATGTCTGAAGGAAAAAAAAAATCAAAGTAAGTAAATCCAGCCATATTACAAAAAGGTCCTTTTCAGCACTCTTCACACCTAGCTGGACACATGGGCCCTACCTGGCGCGTAGAGGTCTTGATCACAGCACACTTGCCCTTTCTCTGGGAATCCAGGTCAATGTTTGCTCCATCCTCCTCCTGGTCATTTGGGTCAACATCCAGCAGCTGGAAAGCAGAGTGAGATTTTATGACAATGTCACCAGGCTAGCAAGCCCAGAATTAGCGCTCCTAAATTACATGGCAGTAGGAGAAATAGAACTTCACATCATCCATCAGCAGTAGAAGCCTGCAAGCATTAAAGCTCTCCTATAAAAATTAATTTCTTCCTTTTCTCATGAAGCAGCACACAACAGCACACAGAAAGACACTATAACATTCAGAAGAAAGTAGTAGCTAATGGCACCTATTTCTCCTCCTGTTACAGCAGCTCACATTAAGCCTGAAGTTCATTAAGTTTTAAAA